AAACGAACTCAATCTAGTTATATATTTTTCTTCATCTTCTGATTATGAGCACTATGCAAGTTAAGGGTTGTTATGGTTGTTGTTGTTGCTATTGAGCAACCTCCAACTGGGCCCCAAAGCGACTCCTAAAGCCGCAGCGACCCGGGTACCTGCAGACCCAGTTGTCGGCTGTTGACTGGGAACTTTTCGTAGCCCGAAGGCAAGCCCAACACCGCTCGGAGGTCGTTCCCGAGTTGGGCTGTTGCTGTTGCTGTTGAGCAACCCCCAACTGGGTTCCAAAGCAGCTCCTAAAGCCGCAGCAACCCAGGTACCTGCAGACCCAGTTGTCGGCTGTTGGCTGGGAACTGTTCGTAGCCCAAAGGCACGCTGTTGCTATTGCTGTTAAGCAACCTCTAACTGAGTCCCAAAGCGACTCCTAAAGCTGCAGCGACCTGGGTACCTGCAGACCTAGTTGTCGGCTGTTGGCTGGGAACTGTTCGTAGCCCGAAGGCATGCTGTTGCTGTTGCTGTTGCTGTTGAGCAACCTCTAACTGGGTCCCAAAGCGACTCTTACAGCTGCAGCGACCCAGGTAACTGCAGACCCAGTTGTCAGCTGGTGACTGGGAACTGTTCGTAGCCCGAAGGCACCGCTTGGAGGTCATTCCCGAGTTGGGCTGCTGCTGCTGTTGTTGTTGTTGCTGCTGCTCGTGCCCCTCTTGATGAACACCATGTGGAACCCATCGGCCTCCACACGAGGTTGTCTCAGCTGGACACAACATTGCCACAGATGTGAGGACCACAAAGAATCCTTATTTTGGATTGACCCTTGTCCTCCAGTGTTGCATACAAAATCTCCAGTGCCTAGAGGATGTTTGCACCTGATGACAACTTAGTGGTGAAACCCATAAGGATCACACCCTGCAGCGTTGTTCTTTTTCGCTGCACCAAGCTCTTTGTCAACGCAATGGCACTTGGCTCTTTGCCACCCTGCAGAAACTCACAAATAGGAGAAATTTGTTTTTTTTAAATATATATATGGTGTCCACATGAGAACACAAGGTCAGAGAGGACAGGAAACCGATGGCGAGCTCTTCATGAAAACACAGCACCTTCAAAGAAAGGCAGAAGACTGGGGATGTGCTCCCCTGGGGAAAACACACACACACACACACACACACTGAACAACACCGCCGAGGGATCAGTCGACCTCCGTGTGAAACATCAGTCAACAAGTGTGCTCCTGGGTTCAAAGGTCAATACACTTCTATTTTTTCACCTGCCTCCCTCAGCTATCCGGGGAACTTTTTGAAGACACGATGGGGCTGGTTTCACTTTAAGGTTTGTTTGCACATACAGTACAATGCACCACTTGTTACTTTGATGCTCTCAACTTCTTACTCTTCACATCTCAATGGGGGGAGGGGGGTATTTGATATTTGATCCCGCTAAATATGCAACCAACAGTGGAATGTCGACCATATGGACAAAAGTCTTGGGACACAGCTGCGGCCTTCCTGTGTGGAGTTTGCATGTTCTCCCCGGGCCTGTGTGGGTTTTCTCCGGGTACTCCCACATTCCAAAAACATGCAAGGCAGGCTTATTGAGCACTCAAAAACGTCCCGAGGTGTGGGTGTGAGCGTAGATGGTTGTTTGTCTCTGTGTGCCCTGCGATTGGCTGGCAACCGGTTCAGGGTGTCCCCTGCCTACTGCCCGAAGACAGCTGGGATAGGCTCCAGCCCCCCCCCCCCCCCGCGACCCTTGTGAGGATAAAGCGGATCGGAAAATGGTTTGATGAATGGAAATCAGTCAACGGGTGGCCTTTGACCCACTTAGGTGCCTGCAAAGACATTATCTTACAAAGAAAATATGGTGGCCAAAGCAAGTTCCACATGATTGGATGAGTTACACACAAACACTCATCTAGGGCAATGGGCAAACTCCTAAATCCTGGAAGAAGTGGTGCCTTATCTGACAGAAGCACTGGAGTGGCAGTGTTTTTGGCCATGACTGTACGTCGCTTGCCGTGCTGTCAAGTGACTGTCATCGAACACGGCAGCTTTTTCAAGTGTACTCGTGTAAAGGTCACCACGGTGAAAGGGCTCCATGCTATAGAGTAAATGCAGACAGAATAGGATCAAATGGTGACATTCAAGACTAAGCGCTTCTTCCTCATATTATTCTAGTCGGTCACGTGCTGTAATGATGTACGAAGCATCGCTTGCTGACTTTATGTACTTTGCGGATCCCCTTTTTGGCAGGGATCCTTTCAACGTGGCGCCAGCTGCTGCCGCTGCGCAGCTGTGCAGACTCATCAATGAGGGGAGGAGAGTGCACTATTATCATTAGCATTCTTTGAGTACCTGTCATTATCATAAAATATGTCAGGTATTAAAGGGATGGACTCACCCGTCCGGCCGCCGACATCTTCATTAGACATTCTGAGAGGAAGAACCTGAGACTTCCCAGGGAGTGACATTAATAAAAGATGCGATACTAGCGGCTTATGAAGTCCTCCCCTTGTTCTCTTCACTCGGCGCTGCACACCTTTTAGCCGCTTGGATTGTCCGTCATAATGATATCAGCAAACCCCCTTCCAGGCGGAGTTGTTTGTGGAAATGAAGAGGGGGAAAATACTCCATGTACATGTATTCTGATGGCACCCATATTAGTGAGGAAATTATTTTTATTTTGAAGGAGCATTTTCAATAAGCGCGCGTGTGTGTGTGTGTGTGTGTGTGTGTGTGTGTGTGTGTGTGTGTGTGTGTGTGTGTGTGTGTGTGTGTGTGTGTGTGTGTGTGTGTGTGTACAGTATGTGTGCGCTTGGAGGGGTTCACTATTTTTGAACTAATCTCAGAACAGCGGGTGTGCTACTTTGCACAACAACCCCCAACAAAATAAAAGGCACGCGCTCTGGTGTTGTGAATTTAATTACCCGGCAACAGCTTTAATACAATTTACTGAGCTTTACTTATCGGAGATGATGGAGGGCAAGGGGAGATTGGGTGTTTGAATCCGGCCAGCGGCCTTGCTTTTGTCCAGGTGCTCTGCCTTCGTGACATAATCCAAGAGCAGGTCAGACAAGAAAATTTTGTCATTTAGTAGGAAGTAGATTCTTTTGATCACAGAATTGAAACACTGAATTTGCAAACAGCGATTAAAAATAAAATTAAAAAATGCAGTAGAACTGTTGAGAGGTCATTTGCATGAGAAGTTACTAAATTTGTGTGCTCCGAAAAACATGCATATAGTCAATATATGATGAGTGGTACAAATGCATACATGGTGGCTTGATTGGACAAGCGAATGATGTGATGGATAGTTGACACACTTGTGACGAACTTTACTGCCTTGTATTGCATACAGGTGTGTTAGTCAGCCTCTTATTTTTTTTTTTGTCACCCTCTTAAAATAATGTCCTAAGTCATATTTTGACCCCCCCCCAAAAAAAATACCATAAACATCTCAGGGTGCTCGTGGTCTCTGCTAAAATTGTCTACATCCTTCCTGAAACAAATTATTGACTTCTAATCCTGAAATTAAATGAAATTATTAATAAAAATAATATTACGTGATCAGTATTTGGCAGTATCTTTTATGAAAAAATGAGAAAATGCTATTATTTTACGAGCGTGACGATTTGGGAATTTTGAATGACATGGCAGGATAAACATATGGTATTATGATAATAACATTTTTGTGTAAATCGCCCCCTGCCCCCAACAACAATTTGATGTTTTACTGGTAAATGGAGCTATTTTTTATTTATTTATTTATTTTTTACAATAAGTCGAAGTAACACACACACACACACACACACACACACACTCCCAGCCCTCTTTCCAGCTAAACCACAACAATCCTAATGGGCTTTGATGGGCACCTCCCTCTTGCTTGTCTAATTGATGTCAATTCTGCGCACTTGACGCAGTCCTCATGGCCGCCCCTCCCTAAGTATTTCCCGTAAGAGTGCTGGAGGTCCCTATTTCAACGAGGGTGCCACCCCGCCCGCGTCATCTAGATCATGTTACACGACACCGCTGCAACATTAGATGCGGGGCAACAACAACAATCAGTACCCCCTCCCCGCCCAAATGTCATGGTGCCTCCCCGATATCGCTCTGTCTGGCTTGGATGCGCTCTGTCATGTCAAGGAGGGCTACTGTCACTGGTTATTGGCCCTCTTGCCTTCACGCGCCTTACCATTTACAGCCAGGCTAGCCATAACAGAGCATCCAACCAACTGACCACTGCCCCCACTCACCCCCTCCCCATAAAAAAAAAAAAAAAAAAATCAAACACCCCCAAACTCGCACCCTTGTTTGAGAAGTGGCCAGGCAAATAGCAACACAGTTACTAAATCACCCTAACTTCAACATAAGCTTGACCATAATTAAGTTAATTGAGCTAAAGGTTAGGATAATGGAAGATTCGAAATCAGGGGTAACCATCCTTTTTGAAATTGAGAGCTACTTGTTGGGTACTGACTAATGCTACTTCTTTACTTGTAAGATTTGCTCAAATTATATGGAAGTAAATCATCTTCTCATCGTGCTTGATTGCACGCTAGCTTTTC